TACCTCATAAACAGAAAGAGCTGTTAGTGGTGCTGTGGCTCAAGTGGTAGAGTGCCAGCCTTGAACAAAAGAAGCTCAGGGACAGTGCCCGGGCCCTGAGTTCAAGCCCCAGGACTGGTAAAAATAAAAAGCCTGGGAGAACTCCTTCTATTGTTCTAAAAGCTTCATTATTTTTATTAATTCCCTAATGGAACTAAGATACATTTATGAATATATACATTTATATTATAAATATATTTTATATATGTTAGTATCTATATTTATAAATATTTATATACAAACATGTTTATAAATATATGTAATTTTTTTCAGGCAAGGGAAAGGTTTATTTTTGAGCTGCAGGCCACCTCTGATCAAGTTGAAAGCTGTAATATTTATATATGTATAATATGTACACATGTATAAATATTATAAATATTATTATATAAATATAATAGCGCCTATGTAAATATAAAAATAATACTGAAAGTCTTTCAGAACTACTGCTGTGGTATGAATCTGAAATGCCCCCCAAAGGCTGAGATGCTGGGAGTTTGACAGGTGATGTGCTGTGGGGAAGTGTTTGGATCCTGAGGTTCTGACCTAAACCATGAATTAATCCTTTGATGGATCCATCACAGGATGGCTTTATTGGGAAGTTGTGGAAAGAAGGTATGGCATAGTTGGAGGAAGTGGGTCACTGCAGATGTCCTGGAAAGTTATTTCCTGTCCCCAGCTCCTTCTCTCTTTTCTGTTTCCTGGCTGCCATGTGGTGAGTGGCTCTGCTCCACTCTTCTCTTCCACCATGATGCTGTACTTCTCCATAGGCCTAGAAACAGAGGAAGACACAAAATAAGTTGTTTCCTTAGGTAATCTGTCACAGAAACAAAAAGCTGACTAACACAATGATCTTTTATTCAGTCAGTGAGTGAGGCAGACATTGTTGTTCACTCAATTTTTTTTTTTTAGTATTTACAGAATTTTTTTATTTTTTAAAAATTTTACTATAAAGGTGATGTACAGAGGAGTTAGAGTTACATAAATCAGGTAATGAGTACATTTCTTTGAACAGTGTCTCCCTCTTCCTCATTCTCCATTTTTTCCCCTCCAGACTTCCCTCCCTTCAAAGTTGTATAGTTCATTTCCAACATAGTGACATGTTCACACAATTTTTATCTATGGTTTTACCCCCAGGCCATATTTCAGCAGCAGAACCCTTATTTTGTTGCGGGCATCCTTGAATTGGCAAACCAATGCTAATTATTCCCTCTTTTTCCAGTCTGTCTTGCAACGAAGTCCTGGCAGATTGGACCTCAGTGGTAGTCTGCTAGAGTGAGGGGCAAGGTATGGATTCTGGAAAGCTTTTGTTGCTGCAATTAAAGGGGCAGGCAGAAGGACCTCAATCTTCCCCTTTCCTCCAGATTTGATTATAGGGAGGGCCTTTACATATCTGTGCCACAAATCAACAGTTGTAATCATCCAGCTTTATAGTTGCTATTGTTAGGATAAAGACTTACCTTTTTAAAAAATTTTTTTGTTTTAAATTTTTTTATCATGGGCTCTGAACTATGGGCCTGGGCACTGTCCCTCAGCTCTTCCGCTCAAGGCTAGCGCTCTGCCACTTGAGCCACAGCGCCACTTCTGGCTTTTTTCTTATGTGGTGCTGAGGAATCGAACCCAGGGCCTCAGGCATGCAAGGCAAATGCTCTACCACTGAGCCACCTTCCCAGCCCTGTCCCTCAGCTCTTTAGCTCAAGGCTAGCGCTCTATCATTTGAGCCTCAGCGCCACTTCTGGCTTTTTCTGCTTATGTGGTACTGAGGAATGGAATCCAGGGCCTTGTGCATACAAGGCAAGCACACTACCACTGAGCCACTTTCACAGCCCCAAGACTTACCTTTTTTAAGCCATGGTTAGAAAGCTTGTAGACATATTTCTGAGAGATTTGACAGATAGAACATGGTACGCACATGAAGCCACAGTTCTGTTTGCTCATCTCCCTGACATTTCTTAAGCCAGTGTGTTCAGTTTTTCCAGCACAAAACATGATTTATCTCTGCTGGAAATAAAAACATCTGGTTCAGAGAAATTTTGAATGGATACCTTAACTGTACAGTATCTGCAAGGTAAAAGGAGCCTCTAATCTATCAAAGCTTTATGTTTTTTGGAAGAGGTAAAAAGTATTTCCATGTAAGAAGTTTATATAGGTTGAAAAAATATTAATGTTGAGACATTCAAATTCATTTTAGTGGAAACAGGGAACAAACGAGTCCTTATTCATTATTAGAAAAAGCACTGGACACTAAATCCAGGAGTTTTACTCTTAGGTATGACAAAAATAAGTTTCATGACAATACAGTTGACATAATCTCTCTAGGTCCTAATTTCCTCATCAGTAAACTTTAAGGAAAAGCTGGCCATTAATGCTATACACAAGGTATTTTTAAGCTCTCACTTATGCCCGTGGGAGTATTTCATTATCATGTGCTCCCTCAATGTATCCCTGCCCATGTGACTTGTTTTGGTCAATGAGGTAGATGAAAAGCAGTGTATGTCACTTTGGGGTAAAGTGCGTAGAGCACAGTGGGGTTTTCTATTGCTTTGTTTCCTTCATCCATGGGATTCAGAAAGATTTCAGCCAGTGGATGCGCCATTAGAATGAGTAGTGAACATGAATTTCTAGAGCAGAGCACTCTGATATTCCATCATGTGATTAGAGAATGAAATGAGTCTTTGTTGCTTGAAATTACTAAGATTTGATGCCTTTTTATCTTACTATTGCAGTATTATTTAGACTACACTTTCAGAGGGCAAACTATATAATACCTACATCTTTTTAAGATCCAGCATTATGTAATTTCAGAATTATAAGACCCAGCATACTATTAGATTGCAAAGTTCTTAATTCCAAAACAGAAATAACATCTCTTGAATAATGTGAATAAATTGGGTTGAAGAAGGTAAGAGTATAATCTCGGCAGGAAAAAAAATCTTAGACTAGAATAGTGGTGGTAGGGATAAAGAAAGGTTGATGAACTCAAGCTATGCTATACAAGTTGAAGGCACAGTGGTTACAACTGGTTTGATGGATGCAGGTAAGCAAAAAGAGAAATGAATGACGCATTCCAAGTTTTCAGACTGAATGGAAGAAATTTAGTGTTGTGTGCTACTGTAAGAAGAATAAGAGGAAGTATGGGTTGTTAAGAATTTTGTTCAAGATACAGAAATGGTTATGATGCTTGTAAGCTGTCCAAGGGAATTATGGGGCTTTGGATTGATCAATTTAGAGCCATTATTTAGATTTTAGATTTAAAAACTAGGGGTCATTATACTATACACAGTATATAAAGCTATAGATTGAGGATATAATCAAGGAAAACAATATACCCAGAAGAAAAGGAACAAGTATCTCTAAAGATCTCTAAGTCTAGAAAATGGCTTAGAGGAAAACCTAGCAAATAAACTACTACTTTTTAAAAAAAATTATTGTGAAAATACTGTACAGAGGGGTTACAATTACATGGGCAAGATAGTGTGTACATTTCTTATCAAGCATGTAGCCTCCTCCTTTGTTTCCCCTTCCCATCCCTTCCCAGCCTCCCCCGGTCCCCCCACCCAATCCTCCCCCCCCCCCCGCCAAACTACTACTTTTGAGTAGAAGAAAAGCAGTAGAATTTTATTCCAGTGAACTCTGGAAGCAAGCTTTTTCCAAAATGAAGGGTTCATCAAATAAAATAGAAATAAAATGTAAGGTTCTATTTGTCATTTTCAACATATGGGCGTTTGAATTCAGGACTTTTCACAGGCTGTGGCTCAAGTGGTAGAGTGCTAGCCTGGAGCTGAAGGGCTCAGCACCCATGACCAGAGTTCAGGCCCCACGACTGGACCCCCCCTAACCCCTAAAAAGAGTCTCATGGACTTTCCTTCCCAGGCTGGCTTTGAACTGGGATCCTCAAATCTCAGCCTCCTGAGTAGCTGGGATTATAGGCATGAGCCACCCGTGCCTGGCCTTTTTTCCTTCTTGCAAGGCATCTAGGAACAACTCTCTATCACTTTTCTTTATTCTAATTTATCCTAGGAATCTGAGATTTTACCAATCATTTCAAGTGGTTTTATGCACACTTCCACTTTGAGAATTCATGTGAGTATTCACCTTGACTCCAGTATCTCTACTTCATTTCATCCTGTCTAATATTCCTTTGAGTTCCCAAAAATCAGGTCAAGTCATTCTTCCGACTAAAAGAAATTTGATCTCACTGCCTATAGAAGGAAACCTAAGTATTCCTTAGGTCTCAATCAGATTGTTGAATTCTTAATTACTTACTGTTCTAGTCATTGATTGCTGAATGACAAATCATACCCCTGTACCCCAAAACTTAGATGCTTGAAACAATGATTACCATTAGACTAACACTGATAGTTTTTGTGAGATAGGCGTTTTGGAAAGTCTCAGTCACCTGGGAAGTTCAAATTCAGGGCTCTCATATAGTTGTTTGTAAATATTGATTGGATCTGGAGCAGCAAGTAGCTGGACCAGCCATTAGTTGACCAGGGAGCTTCTTTTCCTCATTGACTCAGAGCCTCTCCCTTTGATGTCTAGTTTAGGCTTCCTTTGCAGCCCAGAATCTGGAAGTCAAATGTTTTGTGTGTCTCCAAAAGTGGGGGTGTCTCATGAGAACAAGGCAGAAACTGGACCATGTTTGACCACTGTCTCTGAGGCAAGTGTCACTTCCAGGAAGAGCAGAACACATACTCAGAATCCAAAGGAGGTTATGTAGATTCTCCTTCCTCGATAGGAAGAATACCCAAATCTTTCTAAAGAAATTCTTACAAAAAGGAAGGAATTGCCATGGCTACCATTGACAAATGTAATCTGATTCCCAATCCCATTATACACTCTACATTCTATTTTTAGGATGGATTTTGTTCAAGCAGCTTCTTATAAATGAAATTGCCTTCCCCATCCCAGTGCAATCCTATACATCCTTCCAGCCCTACTTTAAATGTTACTTCTTCTGTGACATGTCTCTCCTGTCTCCTGAGAACAGCCACTTCCTCCTGCCTCTGAAATCACCTCTCAACATACTTCTTCCATGTGAAGGAAGCTCCTTATATTCTGTGACCTCGGATGATGAGCTCCTAAAGCTATTTGCTGCTGAAGCCCTCATGACTAGCAGGATGTTTGTCATTAAGAGAATCAGGTATCAGTATAAGATTATGTAATCAGCTTACCCAATTATGGAGAAAGATGTGGGTAAGAACAGAAGCATTTTTTCTTATTATTAGTACTTTCTTGCAAAAAGAGAGTATAGACATGGAAACAAAAGGAAGAATCAGAGGATATTATTTCCTCAAAGATGAGGTCATTAATGCATCTGTAAGATGGCCATAAAGCCAGCTTTGAGTGCTCCCTATTCAACTATAAATTGCTCACCGTGGCCCTGCTATCTTGTAGCTGTATTTTTATATCCACTGATGTGCTTCCTGAAAGCAACCATTTCTGTTAATGCACTGGACCAAGCAACAGCATAATAACCCTGTCAGCAAACAATGGATGGGAGCTCAGGCCTGGGAGGAGGTAAACCTCCTAATGTTTTTATCCTCTTGACTGAAGTAATGTTAGCAATGACATATGATCAGACTTGGGCCTTTGTCTCAGCAATAATGAATCATCCATTACGAGATTTTCAAGGTTGTCGGGAGGAAATTGATCTTAGGAAGGGGGAACATTTTTGCTAGTGCATGAGATGGGCTGGCTATGAGCAAAACCAGCCACATAAGCAAGAAAAAGTGCCACTGGAATCTCTGAAAACTATTTAATAACGCCAGGGTCTATATTGGATCATTGGGTTCAATTTCCAATTGTATATGATCTTTCAGAATTCATTTAACAATTACTCAGCAGAACAGCAACTTGGGCCAAAACAGCTGGAAGATGAAATGAACTATGCTCATTTTCAAGGGAGAATTTAGATGATTTCTTTTTTTGCCTTCTCACTAATTTCTCCTAGCTTTATGTCTTCAAATGAGTACTAAACTGATATTTAGCTTCTAAATATTAGATGGGACTGCAGGTCTTAATTTGGTACTGAGAAACTGTCAAGTTCATTATAAGTATTAATAATTAACATTTATTAAAGAAGAAAAATTATTATGGTTGAAGACTTAAATGTGTCTGTTATAATGCCATCTTTTATATGCATGATTATATATTACGGGTTTCTAAAAGATAGTCATCATATCATCTTGGAAACTCAAATTAAAATAAATGATCCTGTGTTCCTTCATTCCCTAGACATTTTGTCATTTCACTTGGTTTTATTTTGTGAAGAAAACCTGTTTTTTTGGTGGAGCTCAATGCATTGAGGTCAAGTAGCTGTTTGTGCTTTTTGAGCTTATAGGTCAGAAACTGAAGCTACAAATGACTGGGAGAAAAAGCATTCTTTGAATAAGTGCAGTAAGAACTCATGTAAATCATTTGTAGTGAGAAGCAGTTCTTCTGGTTTGACTGAGTTTGAAAAATGTACTGTCTTCTGAACTAATTATAGACTTTAACTTCACTAATTCTGAGAATTCCCTATTGATGTCAAATTAACTACTTAGCCGTTCCTGACTCAGTTTCTTCACCTTTCAAGGCTCAGCTTCAGATTGATCTTAACATTTCATAGAGATATATTGCTGTTCCTCTAGGGAATACTATTAAATTCAAAATTATGGTATCCATGGTAACTATAACTAGGTCAGACTGCACTTAGAGGAACAGTCTGAACTTAGAGAATCTCTATCCGTTCTCAACCATCCTCTGTGCCTGCAATGTCCATTGAACACAGCTTTTCAAGAAAAGAGCCGAGTACCCTGTAGGAGAGATTTATGATTTATTTGTAATCTGCACACTCATAAAAACTTCGTGCAACTTGTATAATGCATGGTGTGGATTTTTGCCAGTCTCGGGGCTTAAATCCAGGGCCTAGGCGCTGTCCCTGCGCTTTGTTATTCTAAGCTAGTGCTCTACTACTTGATCTACAGCTCCAATTCTGGCTATTTGGTGGTTAATTGGAGATAAGAGTCTCATCAGGCTTCTCTTCCCTGGTTGGCTTTGAACTTCTGCCCTCAGATCTCAGTATATTGAGTAGCTAGTGCTATAGCATGAGCTACTGGCTTCCAGCAACAACCAAAGAATTCTATAAAAGGAATTGGGGTGGCTTGAAGACATCTGTTGGTTACAGTCAATCCTACCTCCAGATACTGTTTCCTGAATCAAGAAATATTCATAGTTCCCTTCCACTCACCACTCCAATATCTTTACCTTACAGTCTGTTACACGATCTTTTTATAAAAATCAATTATATGTGCACCTATAGTTTCACATGTGCACAAAATTGGGCAAAGACAATACTGCACAGTGGAACTTAGCAGTTACTAAGTTCTAGAGCAATCATTACAACATTGGCATGAAGGGTTCCATTTATTGAGCATCTAGCTTGTGTTGTGCCACTTAATTATTCTTCAGGTTCTATGAACAAGCCTGAGGCCTATATTTTTATTATTATAGTTTAACAAGACTGAAACGGAAATAATAGCTTCACTGTTGATTACCTGGTAGAGAATAGAAATGAGGAGCCAGCTCAAGTAGGTCCAGCCTAAAACTCAATGCCCTTTTCTTCATAAAAAGAATTTCAACTTATCTTTCTATTATCTTTGTGTGGTAGATTCAAAAAGAAAATAATGCCTGATTACGAGAGCAACTGACTTGTTGAGCTAGGTTTTCAGCTTTAACCTATATGCTTGGCATTTAGGTAAGTGCCAAGTTTATTTTGAAGTATAAATATCTTCAAAAAGTCTAAGCGGTTGCAAAACATCATCCAGCAGGTTGGTTGCCAGCCTAGAACTGTAAAAGTAGACTCTTGATATATAAAATATTATTTCTCCCTTGCACATTGATAATCTAGAGAGAAATGTTTCATTCATACTCATAAGCAATGGCATAATGTGGCTAGACTCCTGGAGGCAAAGGACTCACTTGGAGTGTAATCTTTGCATGGCTACTTTCTTTTTCCTGTGGAAAAAAAATAGATGGATTAAAAATAATCTGGAGCAGAGATAAACAAAAGCAAGTATGCATCTGGTTTTATTTGATTTTATTTGACTATCACTTTGTTACAAACAAGATATGCACAATGTTTGAAGTAATTGTATGAGACTCTCAGAATTGAGATTTTTAAAAGTTTGTTTTACAGAAGATTAGGCAGATAAAACAGAAAGATTTTGAAACAGGAAATAATAAAAGGAGGTTTTGTGAAACCATCAAAAGCAAGAGAAGAGATCACACCTGAGATGCTCTGAAATGAGACCAGGTCCACCTCAAAATAAAAGAGTATGCAAAGAAATTCCATTAGCAAACTGCTAACAGGATGCTGTTTGATCAAATCTCGAGCAGAAGATGGGATAGTAGCTTAATCTGTTGCCAAGGAGAGAAGCTGGGCTTAAATCTAAAGAATCTTGATCCTTCAGTAGCTAACTTTATGAGAGAAACATTTAGCATATTATTTTTTTGTCAGTTGTGGGGCTTGAACTCTGGTCTTGGGCGCTGTCCTTGTGCTCTTCAGCTCAATGTTAGTACTCTACCACTGAGCCACAGTGCCACTTCCGGTTTTCTAGTGGTTTATTGGAGATAACATTCTCACGGACTTTCATGCCCAGCCTGGCTTTGAACCAAAATCCTCAGATCTCACAGGTTTGAGCCACCAGCACCCAGCTTAGCATATAATTATTATGAGATCTATCAATGTGTATCTGGGAACAGAAGAGAGGTAGAGTGCTCAGGAGTGGACAGAATGAATGGTGTGCGTGTGCAAATGAGGATCACAATTTAAAAAGTGTCACAAAAAGCCATATGTAATAATAGCCTGTGACAAGGTGAATTGTCCAACATGTATCTATGCACCTGATTATCACTTCTACAGATGCATTTTGATTTTAGTTTTAATCAGTCATTATGTCCTTTAGGTCATTCATTCTGAAGGAAAACAAAGCAAAACAAGAAGATACTCAAGTCAGTTAAAATATTTGTCCAGGGCTGGGAAGGTGGCTCAGTGGTAGAGCACTTGCCTTGCATGCATGAAGCCCTGGGTTCGATTCCTCAGCACCACATAAGCAAAAAGAAAAAAGCTGGAAGTGGCGCTGTGGCTCAAGTGGTAGAGCATTAGCCTTGAGCTGAAGAGCTGAGGGACAGCGCCGAGGCCCAGAGTTCAGGCCCCACGACCAGACCCCCCCAAAAAAATTAAAAAAAATATTTGTCCAGTGCCTGTTGTTTTCCATATACAAGAGTATTTGCTCCTGACAAGAATAGACAATCGCTTCTCAGAATTCTGAACTCATTGGTGATTGCCAAAATGACATCTGCTAGTGAGGACACACAGAATAATCTGTGTTGATGCTGACCTTGGTGACATTTGCTCAGTGTTGTGACAGATTCTGTCCAAAGCAAATTGGATCCAGATCATAAAAAGTTTTGGCTTTTCATCATTTTTCATAAAGTAAGCCTCTAACAATGTTTGCAAACGTCACACTGGGCTGGGATGTATGCATTGGAAGCATGCACTTCACTCAAATTATACCTAATCCAGTCTCTTACCTCATCGCTCCCTACTGTCCTTCATGCATCAGAAAGCAAGACAACCAGTCTCTTTGAAGTAGATTGATTCAGTGTTTCCTCCGCTGATAAGCATCAATTCACATAAAAATGTAACTCAGTGCTAATAAAGAAGGGCAAGGTAATCTCCTTCATATTATTCAAGCATTCCCAAGACTTATGCAGGTATAGTTCAAAGTGACTTAACTACTCCTGCTAACTTTTCTTTTTTCTAGCACCTCTAGCCTATCTCCATAACAAGTCTGAAGGTTTCCTTAAATTGCCTTTCTCTCTGTAATGTTTTCTGTAAGTTGAAGAATATGTTGTAATTGTAATATTATTTGTACTAAAACACATCTTTGTTTGGAATTTTAGTGCTTCATCTATTTATTAAGGATTGACTGGGGTAAATTTACTTCAATAACTATCTGAGGGGACAGAAGAGAAGAGACAGAAGAGGAGGGAGAGAGAGAGAAGAGGAGAAAGAGAATCTTTTTTTCTGCCTGCTTTCTATAAACTGTTAAAAACGTAGACTTGTTTTCATTATAAACTAGATTAGTTTCTAGTTATTTAGAAGTAGAGATACCTATTAGGAAAAACTTACTAACTTTAGATGAATTATTTTTTTTTAGTTATATTTTAAGACCAGACTTAGTGGCACATACCTGTAATCCCATCCTGGGGCTTGAACTCTGGATCTGGGCGCTGTCCCTGAACCCCTTTTTGCTCAAGGCTAGCACTCTGCACTTGTGCCACAGCCCCACTTCTGGCTTTTTAATTGGAGATACGAGTCTTATGGACTTTCCTGGCCTTGATCCTGAGATCCTCAGATCTCAGCCTTCTAAGTAGCAAGCAAGCATAGGCCACCAGCACCTGGCTGAGAGAGAAACTTTACAGACACAATGCAGACGTCAGCAACAGCAGCACAATTCATCATCCTAGCAAATATATGGAAGGTTTTAAACATAGGTAGCAAGATACTTGTCTTGGTCCTTTGAAGACCTTTGGATTAGCCTTTCACAAAGGGAACAAAGACCAGTAAATGCTAGCACTCTTAATCTACCCTATCTCGGTGTGGCTCTATGTTCCTGCCAACCTGCAGTGTGTCCCTCCTGATTGTGGAGAAAACACTTTATATGGTATTGTAGCTACTCGCATTACATGGCCCACTCATGCTTTCTTGTGGAAGCAGATGTTTAGTGGGCTTGTGGTAATAAAGGAAATGAACTACTAAAACTTGTTAATGTGGCTTCTCTAAGATATCTTTATTCTGTTCGTGTTTTGTAGATGACCTAACTTACCATGTCTGAACTAGAGTCAATTTATATTGTTTCTTCTGTCACTGAAATATTTCACTTGTGATAAAAACTCTAGAAAAATATGACTTATGGTCAGTAACATTTCCTTTCAGAATATTGCACAGAGAGTATATTAGTACTTTGTCTCTCCTTGAAATAATCTTACACTATCCCATCCTGGAGAGGTGCAAATCTCTATTGAGAACACAGACACAACCTTAATATGCCATAAATAAATCGAGAATGCGTGACAAAGGAGGGTGGTTTAAATGCTGCATGATTTCCAAAATTTATGTTACATTTATATTTTTAGTTAACAGAGGACAATAAAAATAATTCAAAGTAATAGAGACAATAGGATGTTTTAATACATGTGTACATTGTTTAATGTTCAATCCAAGTTAAACACTTCAATCTCTTTTGGCATCTCTTTACAGTTGAAAGAAGAGCTGTGAAATCCTTCCTTCTAGCTGGGTAAGTAATATACTACATTATTATGATCTGACCCTACCCTCCTGTATAATAGAC